AAAAAGGCAGAGCTGGGAGAATCAGACAGTATTTCAATCACTTTGAATCTCTCAGAAATCACACACACACACATACATACACACAAAACAAAACAAAACAAAACAAAAAAACGACAGGGCTTCAACTGTATAAAATTTAAAATGTCCTGCAAGACACAGGCAAGCCATTTAATCTAGAAAAGAAGGAAAATGCTCATGCCCATCCAGTTGTCTCTCTCCAGTTAGGAATCCCCTGGATTCTGTGGCAGTTTGTTCCTCTCCAGAGCATATGGTGGCCAGGGACCAGAAGCCATGGCCTTGGCGTTCATTTTGAAGATTTGAAACAGCAATGTAAAGGTGTACCATAGTGTTCAGTACTGGACTCTGTGTCCACGGTATTGAGCACAGTTCGCAGGCCTGTTCCCACTGCTGTGCGATATTATTTTAAGGGCAAAGATGTCTCACGGTTGTTTATGCCGCAGAAAATTCAAAGGTGTGGTACTCTGGTTTATGCTGCATTTGTTTAATTATGTAAAGATGTGTTGCTTTTGTTCACCTCGTCTTCCTAAGGCACCTGATTGGTCTACTGAATGGGCAATGGGTAGGCAGAAAGAGGATAGGCAGGATTAGCAGGCAGAGAAAATAAAGAAGAGGAAAAATCCAGGCTCTAGAAGGATAAGAGTAGGAAAAGGAGAGAGGAGAGAATAGGGGAGACATCAGGGGCCAGAGCCAGGCAGCTGTCAGCCAGTCAGACACAGAGATAAGAAAAGGGAATAAACCCAAGGCAAAAGGTAGATAAAGAGAAACAGGTTAATTTAAGTTGAAAGAGCTAGCCAGAAAATGTACCTAAGCTAGGCCGAGCTTTCAAAACTAAGTCTCTGTGTCATGATTTGGGAGTTGGTTGGGGGTCCTAAAGAAAGACCCGCTACTGTGCCCTGAGGGAGGAGGAGGAGCATTTCCATCAGTACAAACCCTGTTCTCACCAGGAGTGAGAGCCAGTGTGTTCTCTGCCCTGAGACAGAGCCGCAGAATCCGAGAAGCTTGGGAAATCGGCCCTGGGGTGGTACAGGTGGTACAACCTCCCCCAAAGGATTGTCTTCCTCTCCTGCCAATCACTAACTGGTTTAAAACATTTGGTAAAGGGTTGCTGCATTTAAGTGCTGATTTGGGTTTCTTGCTGTGGCTGGGGGCTTCTGGACAGTAGCAAGTCCTACTGTGTCCATTTTTTACTTGCAGGATGAGTTGGGCATGTGGGGAGGGGGTGGGCATCTCAAAGCTTTGCGACGTGGCTGGGAGATTGTATTAGGGAGGTTGAGAACGGCGGATTAGTGGATTAGTGAGGACGTAGCTTGGGCGCTTGTCAGGCTCACACTCCATTTGAAAATGAAAAGGGGTTATCTCTAGCACAACCCCATAAAAAGATCACACTGCAACTCTGGCTCTGGCGGTTCTTGTGTTTTGCTTGTTTGTTTGCGTGGGTGGTTGGTTGTTTTGTTTACTTGTTTGTTTGGTTTTGACTTTTTCATCATTTTTGTTGTATTTCTTTTTAAAATTTTTTGTTTGTTTGGCAAAGGGTGCTTTCTGTCTTGCCCAGGCTGTCCTTGAACTTGTAGCCCTGCCTCTGCTTCAGTCTCCAAAATGCTAGGGTTACAAGCTGCTCCACCATGCTCAGCCACCTATCATTTGTTTCTTCAGCACAGCTCCTGACACGTGGCGAGGGCTGGGAAGGTAGGTGAAGAGACAAGGAGCCACAATTGTACAAATTATTCTTGAGTTCTGAACATGTGAGGCGTTAGAGCTGAGCATGCGATAGCCAGCCACGGCTGGGTCTACTGCCCAAGAGTTGATTGTGAGTGTCTATCTTCTCTACACTTTGACCTCAGACATATAGGTTAGTAGAGCAGTTACGGCACGTGAGTGGTGAGCTAAAGCAACTGGCCCGGTCCCGTCTCCTCCCTCCCCCCACCCCCACAAGCCCAGTGTGATGTAAATGTCTGCCACTGGGGCAGGGGAGAGATGGCATGGGAAACAGGGGAAGTCATTACTCTTTTCTTAAAATCAAACAATGCTTAAAATAATAGGCAAGAGTATTGTTACTTACCACTTTGGGGTATATACCCAAAGGATGCTCAATCGTGCCACAAGGACATGGCTCAACTATGTTCATAGCAGCTTTGTTTGTCATAGCCAGAACCTGGAAACAACCTAAATGCCCCTTGACCGAAGAATGGATAAGCGAAATGTAGTACATTTACACAATGAAGTACTACACAGCAGAAAATAATGACAGCTTGAATTTTTTCAGGAAAATGGATGGAGTTAGACTACATCATTTTGAGTGAGGTAACCCAGACCCAGAAAGACAATTATCACATGTACTCACTCATAGGTGGTTTTTAAACATAAAGCAGAGAAAACCAGCCTACAAATGAAATTTCAGAGAACTTAGACAACAATGTAGAGCTCGATAAAAATCAATAAAAAAGATTATATTTTAGGGTGAAAGGGCCTGTGGTGGTTTGAAAGAAAAACAGCTCCCAAAGGGAGTGACACTATTAGGAGGTGTGGCCTTGTTGGAGTAAGTGTGGTCTTGTTGGAGTAAGTACGTCACCGTGGAGGTGGGCTTTGATAGCTTATCTATGGTCAAGCCACGCCCATCTAGACAGACCACGTCCTGTTGCCTATAAGCGGACTTGTAGGACTCTCTCCTTCTCTGCACCATGTCCCACCATGAAGATAATGGACTGGACCTCTTAAAATGTAAGCCACCCCAACGAAATGTTTCTCCTTTACGAGAGTTGTCGTGGCCATGGTGTCTCTTGGCAGCAATGGAAACCCTAATTCAGGGCATTTAGAGACATTGTGTAGATATGTGGTTACATCCTGGACCTCACCACACAGCGGTTGTAGGTAGCACCGCTCTTCTTCCCTAAGCCATCAAAAGTATGGACCACATCTGTGAGGCCTAGAGCGCCAGTTATGTCCGTGGTCGAATTTCTATGTGAGTCTTTACCTCCGGACCTGAGACAGCCTGAGTGTCTGCTGGATACTTAGAAACACAAGAACCCAAGGGAAACACTCTTTGAAGCTACCGCTTTTATTATTCTTCTTTTTAATGTCAAGAAAACAGACCATAATTACATGGTAAACGGTGTATAGACTCGGTCCATCGGGGCTTGAATTCCAACACTACTTCACCCGCTTCTGGAGTAAATTCTATGTCCGTGCCTCAGTCTATATAACTGCGAAATAGACAGAAATACCAAGTGTACAGGATTGGCAGGATTCAGAGGAGGCAACAGATGTGAGGTGTCTAGCTCAGTATCTGCTGTTTACTATACATCCATTAACTCGAGACTTGGTTTTCCTCCTTAACATACTTAATTCAGGCGGGCATTTAACATTTGGCAGGTGAAGCCCGCAAAGTGATCATTAACTCCCCACCCCAGCGGACACAAACCGCTCTGTAATGGCGTCGCTGTCTTACGGCTTTCCATCTGACCGTCGTTCGCAGAAATAGTCTATGCCTAGACACAATCGCCACGGTCCTCTGACAATGCTTTCTCCTCTATGCAGAGCGTCCCTGTCTTCAGTTTATAAATGGCTGCTCTCTTTGTAGTTTATGGGGGAAAGACTGCTAGTTGCTGCTGGGGAAATAGGAGAAAAACAACTGCTTATATAATACAAGCTTCAAGAGAGAGAGAGAGAGAGAGAGAGAGAGAGAGAGAGAGAGAGAGAGGGAGAATATTCAAGTTTCCCACTCTGTTCCAGCTGTCCATGTTCCGGGTCCATAGCTGAATAGTAATATCAAATAAATAAATAATAGTAATATCAAAGGGCCCTTCGAAGGCTGTTTGCTCTATTTCAGCAGAGCCACTCTGAGTTTTCTTAGCCATTTGTCCTTGGATCCGCTGTCACTGCTAGGACAGGAACTGAAATCTGCCCATATTTTTCAATGCCAGATGTTTTAGGGGCGGCCAGTTGCAAATGCACTGGGTTTTGGCTGATGGGCCTTCATACTTTGCCAGAATTGAATTTGTTTGGAAATGGGGTTTACTAACTTTCAAATAAAGCATTTTCAAGCACAGTGTGATGTACAAATTATCTCCCTTTAGTTCATGTTAAAATAATCCACTCTCTAAATCTGTTTGACATTTACCCCTTAAGTGTTTTGCCTCAATTAATCACACTTCTTCAAGCATCTTAATATATTGAGAAGTAATTGTATAACATCCCACATTTCCAGACCCTGTCAAAAATTTGTTTGGCGGAAATATATATTATAGTAATTAAGACATAATTACATTGTCTTGAGAGGCCAAGGGTCATTTGGATCTGATTAACTGTAGAGTTAGCGCCAAAGAAAAGTCAGGTAGTCACGTGCTTGGCCTGTAATTAAACATCTGGGACACTTTGGTCATCAGAGGTAGCTCCTTTTGAATACATTTCCGCGTTACACTTTGGACAGTCTGCAATAAATACAAAGCGTGTGTGTGTGTGTGTGTGTGTGTGTGTGTGTGTGTGTGTGTGTGCGTCTATGAGTAAAGGTTGGTGTAAGCTAGCATTTAGCTGGTGTGGAAACTTTTCCCGTCAGCCCGCTTTGACTCCATATATGGTGTTCAAATAAAAGTTCAGGGGATGCCCTTTTGCTGATCTCACTGCACGCAATGCACACACACACACACACACACACATACACACACACACACACACAGTGGGATTGGTGAGGACTTTCACCTGGACACACACAGTGGGGGTGGGGAGGACCCTCTCACCTGGACACACACACACACACTGGAGTGGTGGGGACCCTCAGGGAAACAGGCGGTGGCTCTCTGTATTATGGGTGTTCAGTACACTGAACTCTTATCACACCTTAACTGGCACCTCTCAATCTTCGGAACAGGCCAGAACTTTGATCCCGACACGTCATCCCACAGGTCCTCGGCTGTCTAGGGTCTCCGGTGGAGGCTCCGAGGGGGCTCTGTCCCGGGTTCCCCGCAGGGCTGGCACTCGGGGCCGTGGAGGCGGCGCAGGAGGCGGGAGTTGGCGACCGCCGCGCTCCGGGCAGCGGGCCCCGTTCGCGGCCCGCGCGCTCCGCGGTCCTCCCTCGCTCCGCTCCTATGCTCATATTTGGACTCGGCCGCCCGTGCCCAGGAATTTCCCGTCATGCCTCCCGCCGCCCCGTCTGCCGCCCGGAGCCGGGAGGGAGGAGGGAGGCGGACAGCGGCGGCTGCTCGTCTGCCCCGGAGTGTGCGGCGGACCCTCCCGCGCCCTCTCGCGCTCTGCCTCTGTCTCTGCCTGGCTACGGCCGCGGCCAGCACACTGCGCGGTAAGTCTGCCAACCCCGCCTGTCCCATCCGGCCCTCCGACCCCTCCGAAGTCAGGCTTGGGACCCGAACTCCCCTTCCCCCCCACCCCGGGAGCGCCCTCGCCGCCTCCCAGCCTCCAGCGTCATCCCCCGGCCGCAGAGCCCGGGTGGCTTCCCAGGGACGCGTCCCACCGAGGGACAGCGCGGAACGAGGTCAGGCGGGAGCCCCGAGCCCAGCCGGCCGCCGCGCTGACACCTTACCCGTCCCCCACCGCGAACCTGAGCCGCGGGAGCCACTGTCCCCGAGCGGGCCCCGCCCGGGGTGACCGGGGTGACCGGGGGCGTGGGCTGCAGCACCCCGGGCAGGCGCGCTCCGCTTCGCTTCGCTGGGGCCTCCGCTGTCAGCGGCGGCCGGGATAACGGGCCAGGGCGTGGGAACGTGGGAGAGGCCACCAGGCCCTCGACCCCCCCCCCCCCCTCGACATCCTGTCCCCATCCCGGGGAGAGGGGTGCGCCGGGCGGGGCTGGCATCTCTTAGGCCCAAATCCAGCAGAACCCCAGAGGAGCAGGTAACAGTTTTGTTTTGTTTTCAAGTGGAAACAAGCATGTGAATTTTTTTTTTTATAAAACAAAACTTTTCCATTGGGCTATTTCAAGTCAAACTATCAGAATAAAAAGTGCTGTTTCTGCTTTTGTAGGTTATGCGGTAAGTGAGGTAATTCTGAAGGCGAAACAATAAGGTATTAAAAGAATTTTCTTTGGATCATGTGGAAAGTACTAGGAAGTTTTTGTTTTTGTTTTCTTCTCACCCCCAATTATTTGAAGCATGAGGGAAGATTTTGAGGGAAATATGAAGTTGCAGGGGCTCTTGAATTTGGACAGGGTCAACTAATCAAGGCTTGGTTATTTTGTCTGGCACGACAAAACATTTTAATTATTGAGAACTGGGATAACTTGGGAGATATTAATTGGTTGCTGTTTTGATATTGATGGACTGAACCGTCAATGAGATTTGGTTAACTGGGACACACGTTGGCTGGCAGTTGACTGCACCCTGTGCAGCGTGAGAGACAAAGTAGGCTTTTAAAGAGTAGTTTTATGTATAAAATTTTACACATAAACTATTCTCAGGGTTAGCCTGGCTGTGGTGCTCCACGCCTTTAATCGCAGCACTTGGGAGGAGGTGCTGGGTGGATCGTTGTGAGTTCAAGGCCAGAGCGAGCGACCAAAGCTACAGCAGAGAAACCACGTCCTCAAAAACCAAACCAACCAAACAAAAACCCCCTCAGGGTTATAGAGTTTCCAAAGTTGTTTCCAGAACCAGAACCAACTACAGACTGTTAAATGTATTGAATGACAGCAGTTTTATGTTCATTCCTGAATGACTCTTCAGAAAGGACCTTTTCATAGACTCATAATCCAGGAGCCACTTTTATATTCCCAAGTTCTTCTTGGGAGTCAGCAGATTCTGATTGCTCAATTTATCCGTGGATTTCCAAAACCTGGCCTGGATGGTAAGGGAGAGACTGTGATTATTTCTGTATGTCTGATATGTTGACTTGCTTATTGCCTGTGGTCAAGCAGACTTTGAAGACCAAAATCAACTGTACTGCGGCCTTTTGCCAGCTTTTGGAACACTGAGTTTATAGTTGGACTGTTTAAACATAGTTTTAAAATTTTGTTCCTACCTGATATACCGATCAAATTTTTGATGCTTTTAATAGTTCCCTATGTGGATTATATTTTTTATAGTAAATACAGTAGCTCTTTGCCATTTGAATTTTTGTCATGGTGCCTGACTGCCTGTCTGCCACGGTTGTAGCATACAGTGTCGTTTAGATTTTGAATCGAAGTCCTGTTTTCAACTTTTCTATGTACTTGTTCCAGTGCTTTAATCAGAAGTCCTTGCGCTTTTACTAGAGTAGTGAGAATGTCTAATGCTCAGCGTGCTGGGACACCTTCTCAGCCCAGCACTCAGAGGCTGGGGCAGGCAGATTTTTGTGAGTTCGAGCTCAGCCTGGTTTGGATAGCAAGTTCTAGGCCAGTCATGGCTACATAGTCAGACTGTCAAAAAAAAAAAAAAGTCTAAAAACTACCCCAAAATAGAATCCATCAGTTTTTCCGATGTATTTTTCACTTATTCAGCAACCATAGGTTTTAAAGCATCAGAAAACAAAGTTGGTAAATAATGCCTTTGAGCTCCATCATAACTAGTCAGAGCCCTTTGATTTTTATTCTCATATATGTGAGCATATATTTATATATATATTATATTTTGTATATATTTTATAAATATATATATATATATATATATATATATATATATATATATATTTGACATTGCAGTTGCAGATTTGGTTGATGATTTTGGTTCCAAAATTTAGCTGCCTTTTCTGGAAACGCCTTCTAACTACAGGATTCTGGATTACTCTTTGTGTTTGCATAACCCCTGCAGAGCCACCGCCTTCATTCCTTCAAACACCTGCCAGTCAGTCTGTGGCTTGCTCCACAGTCAAACTGGTCTACAGGTAGTCAGGTCCGAGGGGCGTGGCTTCAGCCTTGAGGGTCCCATCTGCCCTCAGGATTGGCCTGACAGACCTGACCAGAGCCCCTTCCTTTAAAACCAGGAAGTGCTGCCTTTGTCTCTGGCAAATGGCTGCCTGCTCGCTGCAGGTAAACCGAAGCCTCTGGCCCAATCTGATAACTCTGTTTTTGGTATTTGGGTCAGAGGCGACACCAGAGTACACTCAATACTTCCTGCCCTTTGAACGCCTGTTGCTAGTTACCTGGGGAATCTTCCAAATGAAGTCCCCTAGACTGAGGCATTGCGTTATAACCCTGCCTCTCAGAAGACTTGGTCCCATCCACTAGTCTGTCGTCATCATAGTTAACGTGCCTTTGGATAGGGGCACGATGATGGGCAGCCTTTTCATCTTTAGTAGAATTTCTGACCGCTGCCCCTGGATCTCATAACTTTGCCTTGAACGCCCTTTATTTTCTCACTGGGCCATAATTCATTCTCCTTGTAGAATGTCCACTGTGGTCCTTGCTGCCTGTGTTGTGTATTCAGTTGCTCAACTTTCTGGAATTTTTTCGGAAGCCTTTAAGAGAATGTAGAAAAAGGAGAGCAGCCATGAATCAGTTGACTGTGGACGATCTTGATTACTACTTGTTTCAAGTGACAGAAATAAACCTGGAATAGTTTTAGTCAAAAGGAAAAAAGGGGGAAAGGAATGTACTGGAAGACCATTGGAAGCCAAGTGCAGACAACCTTATTAGGGCCTACGATTATGAACAGTAACTAGAGCCTGGCACTCTCCCTGCCCCTGCCTTCATTGCTACACTCTTCTCTGGCTGCCTTTGCTTTGTTCTTGTGTCTGCTCTTTGCTGTTCACACTTAATGTTGTGTGATGTTTTACTCTTCTGACTTTTCGAGGGGCCCAACACCCAGTTCCCAAATAAATCACACATAGAGGCTTATTCTTAGTTATGAATTCGTGGCCTTAGCTTGGCTTGTTTCTAGCCAGCTTTTCTTAAATTATCCCTTCTATTAAATTTGCCCCTGGGCTTTTATCTTTCTCATCTGCAAATCTCACTTTCCCTCCTGCTCCCTGGCTGACAGGGCGGCTGGCTCCTGACGTCCTCCTCTCCTTGTCTCTCATTCCCTTTTCCTCCTTTCTCTTCCATTCTCTCTGCTTGTTGGCCCCACCTATCACCTGCCTTGCTACCAGCTGTGCAGGTCTTTATTAGACCATCAGGTGTTTTAGAGAGGCAAGGAATTCCAGCTTCACAGAGTTAAACAAATACAGCATAGACAAAAGCAACACGGCTTAAATAATGTTCCCCAGCAGTTATGTGTTGCTTCTCAGCAGCTCTTGTTCTGTTTCTGCGTCCGTTCCCCACAGGCAGAAAGCTAATTAAATTTGCTCAATCTTAGTTCCTGAGGAGAAGATCCTGATAAACAGTTTGGGTCACATAGTTGGTCTAGATTTCCCCTGCAGTCTCTTTTAATTATAGTGTTATGTAGAGAGTTTGAGTTGGCCTTTTCATGTGAGATATATATTGTATCCCTGGTTGTCCTGGACCTTGCTCTGTAGACCAGGCTGGCCTTGAGCTCACTGAGATCCACCTGCCTCTGCCTCCCAAGTGCTGGGGTTAAAGGCGTGTGCCACCACTGCCGGGCCAGGGTAATTAGTTCTTACATTGCCGGGCATTTCCTCTTGACTGCAGTGTGCAGAGTGGACGACATCCTAGTGGGCACTAGACCTCATGCAATTCCTCCTGCAGGAATGCTGAGGAGGAACCCTACGGGGAGTCACTGAGTGCACGTCACACTCAGGAACTAGGAGCTTGGCCTGTGACAGAATGGTAGTAACCCTGTGTGATAGCCATTATTCCATTCCTTCTGTAGGCCATCATTGCCACTTTTCAGGAGTCCACCAACTAAAATGTTGAGTCCAAGTGGCTCTTTATGTAAATTCATTAGGAGTATGTAAATGGTAGAGACAGTCGAAATAGACATAATTTAGGGAGCATGAGTTCAAGAGATTTGGCTTGCTGACCCACTTTTCCTTTTCATAGTGGTTGACGTGGTTATTTATGGCCTCTTGTCAGATTCTGTTTTGTGAATCCTTCTGCATCTAATCGAATCTTAACTTCCGCTAGCGTCTATAAAAGCGTGTGCCACCTAAGACCGTATGTATTCATTGTGTGCCGGGCTGGTGGGCCGCCTTTAATTCTGAGAAGGCTCTTAGCGCTCTGGCATGCATAGTCTCAGTTATGCTGATTCTGACTTTTGGCCTTCTGAAACCCCCACACCCACAGCCACCTTCCTCCTTGACATCGGAACACAGGTGCACTGTTCTTTCTTAGTCTTTTCGCTTATTAGGTTTTGTAAGCTTTTCCATGAACACTCTTGTGTGGACATTGAAGAATATGTGAAGGATAGGCAGTTTCCCCGTCAGCTAAAGTGACGCAGGAGGGGAGGTTCCAGCAAGCTCAGGTGGGAGGGGCTCAACTTT